GGGAAAGCCGTATCTGTGAAATAAAAACATTTACATTTTAAAAGTAACTGAGAATATGAAATTAGCCCAATTTCAATTTTTGAAGAAAAATAAAAACCAGAAGCAATGTGAACGCACTCATAGGCCACATCAGATCTAAATGTAAGAGACATTACTTTAAAAATAAGAATTTTGGCCAGAACCGGTTTGGCTCAATGGATAGAGCGTCGGCCTGCGGACTCAGGGGTCCCGGGTTCGATTCCGGTCAAGGGCATGTACCTTGGTTGCGGGCACATCCCCAGTGGGGGGTGTGCGGGAGGCAGCTGATCGATGTTTCTCTCTCATCGATGTTTCTGGCTTTCTATCCCTCTCCCTTCCTCTCTGTAAAAAATCAATAAAATATTTTAAAAAAATAAAAATAAAAATAAAAAAATAAAAAATAAAAATAAGAATTTTGATAACTTCACTGAAATTCTCATTAAAAATAAATACCATCCCAAACATTAGGTATTTAGGGAAATAGTATATAGATTATCTACCTTTCTAGACATGAAAAACATACATCTAAGAAACCCATAAGCCAAAGGGAAACAAGTCAACCACAAAACAGAGGGAAACAGTCAATAGAAGGAACAGCAAATTCCCTATATGAAATATTATCTATATGACATTTCTATCTGTAACAGCACTAGGTTCTACAAAGTCAATTCCAACTTTCAAAGAATCTTCACTAAAAGCACCTCCAGTCCTGGCCAATTTGGCTCCGTGGTTAAAACATAGGCCTGAGGACCAAAGGGTCGGGGTTTGATTCCTGGTCAAGGGCATGTACCTGGGTTGCAGGCCCAATCCCCATCCCAGCCCAGGCCCAGTTTGGGGCGTGTGCAGGAGGCAACTAATCGATGTGTGTCTCTCACAACAATGTTAGTCTCTCTCTCTCTCTCTCTCTCTCTCTGCCTCTCTCTCTGCCTCTCTCTCTCTCTCTCTCTCTCTCTCTCTCTCTCTCTTCCCCCTCCCTCCCTTCCACTCTTCAAAAAATCAATGGAAAAAATATCAAGTGAGGATTAAACAAAAAAATAGCACCTCCAATATATTATATGAAGATTCAATGGGTTGATTCATCAAATTTATTAACTGTAAACAATGCTTCACATAACAAATATATATTTTTAAGTGTATGAGAGAGGGAATATACATTCCTGCTCTCATAATATTCCCTCTCTTATACAAAATACACAGACAAACACTTTATAGGGGGGGAAAAAACTTAAAAAATCATTGGTTATCACTATCAGTTATTTCTAGCTGATATTCAAGGTAATTTTTTAATTTGCTCTTTGCTTTACCTGCAACTTCTAAATAACTATACTATTTATATTTGGAGGCCATTCCCCAGTAGTTAATGACACCAGGCATTGACTCTATTTTAGATTTTAATCTGAGGCACTGCCCAGTCAGAGAAATGATAAAAATCTTTTGAATATCAAGTTGCTGGTTTGTGCCAAAACATAGCAATCCCAGAGGATGCTCTGTCTGGAATCTGTGGAGGAATCATCTACAAATCTTCTATTAACTCAGGCCTTCCAAAGAGCCTGGAAATGCTTGTGTGTTGAGGGTCAAGGGCTGAAAATGGATTTGCTGACTTCTAAAGGTCCAACCCTGGCCCTGAGATTCCAAGATTCTATAAAAGGGCAGTACATTAGGGTTTGGCTACTATTTGCTGACTACTGGAGCCAGCACAAACATTTACTTGAGGCTTTTAAATCTGTAAGTGTACCCAATGGTTAGGTACAGTCATTCTGAATCTGAAAAAGCAAACAAGGCCACTGAAAAGGTTTCTAAATAAAGGGGGTGAGGGTGGGGGCACATTTCCTTTGTTTTCTCCAAGTAAACAATACAGATTTTAGAAATGCAAAATTTGACTCTCAACAGTATTGATCCCTATAAACTATTTTAGTGCTTTATAAAAATACTAGCAACTCATACTTTTCAAAAAGTCCACACACAGCTTTTAAACTACTTCATTTCAAAAAAAAACCCACAAAGAAAAAGGCCCATACTTAACTATGAAAACAGAAAGTCAAATCTTCAAAAACTATTTAGCATTCTGCTATATAAAATATAAACCCCACATTCGTAAATAAAATGGCAAAGTTAGAACCTTTGTAATTCTCTACCACAGTAATATGAGAGTGGTGATTCAGAGCAAAACCTGATTTTAAACATAACTATACAATATTACTAATTACAGAGTAATTTTACCAATAAATATTTTGGTTGAGGACTGCTTTGTCATCTTTGCAAGTATTTTTAGTTGAAAGCAAGTGGTTGAGTAGTACACATGGACATGGTTATGATTTTTAAAAATCTATTTTTAAAATCTGGTGACTGGTTCGGTTTTCTAAATTCAATTCTTTAGAACTGGCAATTTGGAAAGGGTAAACCACAAGAATGTTACGTTAAGAAGCAAAGGACCTAACAAGTTCACCAACTCAGATCAGCACAAAGTTAACCTGAAAACCTCCAAACGCTCACAAATCTAATGCTGGGCCCAAATAGTCACTAAATTTAAAAACTGTACTAACTCTCCAAACACAGGAAGACCTATCTGAATTTCCTTGTCTTATGCTTACACAGTTATTTTTTGGGTGTGCCTCTCTTCAGATTTGTTCCCTAAATCTGAGAATGTGCTTCTTTCTACTTGGAATTCAATTTCAGATTTTAATATACATACCCAGTTGTGTACATACCCAGTTTAATACACAAACATAGTTGAAAATATTCCATAACAGTTTAAATTTTTTTATACAAGTTAGGTATAATTTTACTGAAATAAAATTCTAACTTTGTTAAATGATTTTTTTTATGGCTTTTAATCATTTTAAGCAATCCCTATCCAATTTAGATATCAAGGATTTGAGTTTGGGGACTCAACTCAGCCACATCTTTTCTCTGCAAGTTCTCTGCACAGTGCTCTAACTACTTCAACTACGGGTAAAAGATTAAAGAACTGTTATGACTAGGTCTTTCTTACAGAGGGATGTTTTAAAAGGGAGAGAAACTGTCCCTTCCCGTTACTCTACATGAGCAGCCTCTTGTTCTCAGCAGTCCTCCTGCACACAAGACCACTACTGACTTCGGTGGGAATTCTGCCCAAGAAGTGAGGAAGATTGCATAGGATTAAATGAGCCTTAAATCCGTGCCATTGTTCCAAGCCACCTCCACTTGTACCGTTCTCTAATAACCTCCAGGAGTAGATATCTGAAGTTTGATGGTAGTTCTTAAATTACATTATAGGCCTGATCACTCAAGCTGACAGGTGACACAGCCAAGCCCTTTAAAAGTTGTGTCAGTCTGGTGAATGTATGGGGTTCACCCTTATCACAATTCAAGATTGCATTGCAATGCAACTCCATCAGTGGCTGCAATGCCAATCCAGTGATTTCCCACAGCCATGAGCCAAATAGGGCTGAACCAGTTCAAGCTCCTGCGGCCAAAAAACTGCCTCAGTTTCCCCCAAGTGGTAAATGCAAGGACACCGACTAAAATGCTAATTCTCAATACAGTATTATAGATACATAGAAGTAAGGGATTCCGGTGAAAGAAGAACAACAACAAGAGGAAAAATCAAGAGGGAATGACGAAAAAGGAAGAAAATAAAGGGAAAAAGAAAAGAAAAAAAGCTTAAATAACTAACAAGAAGAACAAGACACCTGGCACGCACATGCCATTTCAGATGCAAGAGGTTCAAGAAACTGAGGAAAAGATGTGGTTCCGAAAAGGGAAAATACATCCTCAGCTCTTCTAGGTCCCCACCCTCCCAGGGCCCTTAAAGACAGGGCAGCGGTTGTGGGGAAGGGGGATTCCATTTAAGGCGTCCCAAAAATAACAGACTCCAGGCCAGAGTTCTTCTAAGTTCTCACACACACACACACACACACACACACACACACACCAACAACCCCGACCTCAGAGGAGATGAGCGATCTTGGGAAGCATAATGACGGACGTCCGTCCGTCCCGCCCGTCCGCAGACGTCCCTTGCGGCTGCCGGGACAGCCCCTCGGGCTGGGGATGTGGTCTCGGACGCTAACCCCGACTCCGCCCGCTCCGTTCCCTTCTCCCCCGCGCCCTTCCCCCGCGGCTCCCCTAAAAAGGCTCCTGGCCCTCCGCCTCCCGCCCCGGGGTAGGAAAACACGCCACCCGTGGAAAGAGGGCCCTGCATGTGTGAACGGGAAGGACCGGCGCTTCAAAACGTGC